TCCTGACAGGAGAAAAGAGGAGAAGGGACTGCGGTGTGGTCATGCCCCCAGGGGGTGATTTCTTGCTTTCTGTCTCTCTGACTCTCCAGCAAGCACACACGCCCTATAGGGAAAAAAACATCTCTCTCTAAAAAAAGGAAGAAAAAAGCAAAATATTTACGGAAAACAAAAATGGAAAATTATCTGTTGATGATAACATGTATGATAATATCTTTACCTGTACTAATACACAGTGTATTCATGCTGGGAAAATTCATTTTAAAAGCTGTCATTGGAGGGAACCAGCAGTTAGCGTAATGGCTATGTTGCTGGACTCCCACGTAGTCGACCGCAGTTGCATCACGGACCCGGTGGCTTAAAACTCACACTGTGTGTGTGTGCGTGCCCAAGATCCCGAGAGGAGAACGGAGGAGAAGGGATTGCGGCGTGACCATCCCCCCTGGGGGTGATTTCTTGCTTTCTGTCTCTCTGTCTCTCTCTGTCTGACGAGCGCACGCGCCCTATAGCAAAAAAACCTCTCCAAAAAAAAAAAAAAAGCTGTGATTGGATGTATAAAAAAATGATATCTAAATCTGAATCCAACCACTAGATTGTTATAAGAAAATATCATTTTAAAAAATTATACTTAAACTATATTTCCTCAAAAGAAAAAAGGGAAGTAAACATTGTGCTGCTTTACAAACTTAATTAAAATATTCTTCAACAGCTCTGGCTAAATGCAATCAATATTAAACGCAGACTATGCAACTTCATTAACTAAAAAAAAAAGCCCTAAGCCGAGAGGTCCAGCCCTCAGTTAAAATTTGCCCCTACTCTGTAATTGTCACAGTTACTATAATTGTATGAATTTAACAAAGACCAAGAATTTCACTTACCCGATACAGTACAATGGTTTCTAAATGCTCCAATCACTTGGGTGGTACGGGAGAGGAACAATAAAAACCATTCAGCAAAGACTCTAAGGCCAAACTTTCATGAATCACCTTAAGTGCTTAGTAATCACTAGGAATGATTCAATTAATCATAATTTTGAAAAATTAATACTCAGGGTAAAAATCACAAGTCTTATTCAAACCTGAAAGAGATTCACAAACTGATTTTTCACAGATCCAAATCAGTTCATAGTAAATAAGAAGACTGACTGAAGTGATCATACCCAAGCAGATTTACCTCATAAGCATCTGAAAGACACTGAAACCTGAAGGTAAATAAACCACCTTAAGTTGCACTATTTGTCCACATTAACACGGGCATTATGTGACACCCCTACCCCCGGAAGAAATGAGAATTTCCTTATCTATTATACTCTAGATTCTAGAGGACGAAGTCTTTGGACACAAACATAATATATGGCTGTAATATAATTTGGTAAAAATTTCCTCTAGATAATTAATGGTTACTGGGACCAGCAGTTAGCGTAATGGCTATGTTGCTGGACTCCCATGTAGTCGACCCTGGTTCAAGTCCTGGACCCGGTGGCTTAAACTCATGCTGGGCACATGTGCGTGTGTGCCCAAGATCCCGAGAGAATGGAGGAGAAGGGACTGCGGCGTCGCCATCCCACCTGGGGGTGATTTCTTGCTTTCTATCTCTCTGTCTCTCTCTGTCTTTCTGGCGAGCACATGCACCCTATAGTGAAAATCTCTCCCCCAAAAAAGAAAAAATAATAATAATAATTAATGATTACTGTTAGAAACTTAAATAATACAGAAAGTAAGAAATCCAGGACCAGCAGATGGCATAACGGTTACATCACTTGACTCCCACATAGCTGACCATGGTTCAAGTCCCAAACCCAGTGGCTTAAATCTCACATCAGGCACATGTGTATGTGTGTCCCAAATCCCAAGAGAATGAAGGAGAAGGAACTGCAGCATGGCCATCCCCCTACCCTGGGGAGGAGGAGGTAGATTTCTCACTTTCTGTCTCTCTGTCTCTGTCTGTCTCTCTGGTGAGTGCACGTGCCCTAGAGCAAAAATCTCTAAAAAAAAAAAATCCCTTCTCCTCCATTATCTTGAGATTTGGGGCACACAGGCACATGTGCCCGGTATGCGTTTTAAGCCGCTGGGTCAGGACTCGAACCATGGTTGACTATGTGAAGTCCAGGGATATAACCATTATGCCATCTGCTGGTCCCATAAGAAAAGTTAAATAAATAAATACTAAGGCAGAAAAGTATAAGTATTTTGCCCAAGATACCACCTAGCTAGGAAGTGAAGAAGCAAACCTAAGCAGCCTCGATTCACAACCTACCTTCTTACCTACTGCCCTCTGCTAGCAGAAGACAATCCTCTGCACATTTCATTTGCTGCTGCTTGTAATCCCGCTAACATCAGGGTGAGCAGGTAAACATATTTGCCCACAATTATGAATAGAACATTTTCTTTTTCTTTTCTGTTTGCTTTTGCTAGAGGGTTCATGCACTCATCAAAGAGAGAGAGAAAGTGAGAGATCATCCCCCCGAGAGGGTGGCCACGCTGCAATCCCTTCTCTTCCAGTCTCCTCTCCAAATCTGGGGCACGCAAGCACACACACCTGGTGTAATTCTCAAGGTGCTGGGTCCAAGATTCAAACCAAGAAGCTCATCACGTGGGATCCAGAACCTTAACCTCCACTCCACCTGCTGGCCCGACAGAACATTTTCATACAAACTCAACTCCAAATGGTGGTTATGTTCCCCTGGGATTCAACAATAAACAGTTCCATAAAAGCTTTAAAAATGAAATAGAAAAAGCACATATTACTTCTTTTAAGTTTAAGGAATATGTTAATTTGCATTTTTACAATATGCTACTTAACTATAAGTAGCACTAAAATCTATGACTATTAAAGATGCCAAGTGAAACATACTACATCACATATAAAACCAAAATACTAACTAAATCAGCCTAAAACAAACATGAACATCTTGGGACCAGCAGTTAGCGAAATGGCTATGTCGCTGGACTCCCATGTAGTCGACCACGGTTTGAGTCCCGGACCCGGTGGCTTAAACGCACGCTGGGCGCGTGTGCGTGCGTGCCCAAGATCCCCAGAGGGGAATGGAGGAGAAGGGATTGCGGCATGGTCGTCCCCCCTGGTGGGTGATTTCTCGCTTTCTGTCTCTGTCTCTCTCTGTCTGTCTGGCGAG